CACACACACACACACACACACACACACACACACACACACACACACACACACACACACGTACACATTCTTTTTCAAGCGTTACTTAAAGTGTGTTTACCTGAAAATTACTACCCTGCGGAAAAATCAAGTATCTCTTAGATCGCGATAAGATTCTGGGGGTGACATCGGTCTCCGTTGCGTTCGCGTGGACGACCGTCGAGCCGGCGAGGAAAACCAACCAATTCAAGCATCCGACAAGAAAAGAGAGCCGATAGTCTGACATGACTTTCACACGGCGAGGTGTTAACGTTTCCCCGGGAAATCATATGTGTAACCACCTACGGAAAAGGGAAGTGTCGAAGTTATGCACACATAAAGAACGGGATCTCCCCGATGAAAACCCATCGACGGGTTTTCCGCCTACGACGGACCGAAAGCACAAAGTTTTACGATAGACTTCCAGGCTGTGGTAAACTTACAAAAACCGATATCTCTCGCAAAGCAAGCAGGGCTCCCGTGCGAGGGAGGAAGGGGGGGCGGAGCTCTCTCCCGGGCTCTTTGTACTATAAAGTGCGTTAATTAAGAACGAGAATGTCACACGTGACTTGGCAAGTTAATGAAATTCGCGATGCGTCCCGCCCAGAATGACCCAGAATGAAGCGCGCCAGCGCGGTTCATCACGGATAGCCGTCGTTATACTAGCGATCGCGATCGGCGCGCGGAGCGGCAAGAGTATACGAAGATTTGGCAGGCGGTTCCCGTTTACGGTATAACGGTGAACACATTGCGTGCTCTTCCACGATTTAACGGGCTCGCCAACTCCCTCCCCCCTCCCCTTCCCTCCCCTCCCCCCCCTCTTTCTCTCCATCCCGTAGTATCCCGACGATTCCTCGGCCAAACGCAAACAACTTGAACAATCGTACTGTGTTTGTACAGCGCGTTATTCACTCGTTACACGTCTCGTTTAAACACAGTTTCGCGAGCGACGGAACCCAGAGAGACGTTACCATTCCCGGTTATTACCGCCCCGCGCGGTATACGGTTTCCGCGGCACATTTTTCCTA